AAGTGAGCACCCACCTCAGCTTCCCAAAGTGCTGGGATTACAGGCTTGAGCCACCTTGCCTAGCCCTGAGTACACATTTCTGTCAATACTTGTAGAGAGGTTGAAAATACAGTCCCTTGCACACTTTCATTTAGTGCGTTTGAACTAACCAGACCACTAAGAAAGGGAATTCTTTCACTTTAGAGACTTTTGCTTTCAGATTGCAAAATAAATATGTGACTTAAAACTTACAACTTTAGCTGGGCTTGGTGGCTCACGCCTGTAATCCCAGCACTTTGGGAGGCCAAGGTGGGTGGATCACCTGAGGTCAGGAGTTGAGTCCAGCCTGACCAACATGGAGAAACTCCGTCTCTACTAAAAATACAAAATTAGCCAGGTGTGGTAGCACATGCCTGTAATCCCAGCAACTCGGGAGACTAAGGCAGGAGAATTGCTTGAACCTGGGAGGCAGAGGTTATGGTGAGCCAAGATCGCACCACTGCACTCCAGCCTGGGCTACAAGAGCGAAACTGTCTCAAAAAAAAAAAAAGAACTTTCAACTTCATCTAAAAGCTTTACAAAGAGGAGAAGTAAAAGCCTTTGAAGTCCTTTCTCTTTTAAAAAGCACAACTTTCTTTGTTTTTATTCATTCTGTGAAGTAAATGGCTGTGTTTCCAGCACCTATTAGCTCATTTTTCCTGAACTGGACATTTGCTCTCTTTAAGAATGTTTCAGCTGCTTTACTTAATTGTAGTCAGCTTGAAATTACATTTGTTTCACTGCACCAAGGACCTGGGAGAGAACTGTAAAATCTTTGTCTTTCTAGTAATTTTCGTCTCAGTCTTCTCATCTGTTCTCCAAACTTGCTTGCATGGCCTTGTTCTTATCTGGTCTGAAAAACCTTAACCAAATCACAGACGAACAGTATTTTCTTGATTTTGTATCCAAAAAAAAAAGGAGAGAAAGTATCTTGGTTTTTATTACGTGTGTAGCAGATTCTCAGCTATTAATAGACAAATACCCATATTAAATAAGATGGTTGCCCTACATTAATGTCTAGGGACCAGAGGATTTTTTAAAACCTACTCCAAAGATCTCAAGACAGAATGGAATAATTCTAACATTATAAAAATAGGCAGTTCTGTAACACTTCTTAATCACTGGTCTCTCCATGGATCACATTATGCTGCAGTTAATGTGACGTGCTTTTAGTGAGTCTCACTACCTTATGAAAGGATAATTCTAAACAATTTGATTTGGAGATTAGGTAAATAGTAACTACTAGAAGATCATTCACATATCTTAGGAGGTCTGCTAAAATAGCTTTTTTTTTTTTTTTTTTTTTTTTTAGACAGAGTCTTGCTTTGTCGCCCAGGCTGGAGTGCAGTGGCATGACCTTGATTCACTGCAGCCTCTGCCTCCTGGGTTCAGGTACTTCTCCTGCCTCATCCTCCTCAGTAGCTGGGATTACAGGCATGCACCAACATGCCCAGCTAATTTTTGGGTTTTTTTTGAGACGGAGTTTCTCTGTTGTTACCCAGACTGGAGTGCAATGGCATGATCTCGGCTCACTGTAACCTCCGCCTCCTGGGTTCAAGCAATTCTCCTGCCTCAGCCTCCCGAGTAGCTGGGACTACAGGCACGCACCACCATGCCCAGCTAATTTTTGTATTTTTAGTAGAGACGGGGTTTTACCTTGTTGAACAGGATGGTCTCGATCTCTTGACCTCATGATCCACCTGCCTCGGCCTCCCAAAGTGCTGGGACTATAGGCATGAGCCACCACGCCTGGCTAATTTTTGTATTTTTAGTAGAGACAGGGTTTCACCATGTTGGTCAGGCTAGTCTTGAACTCCTGACCTCAGGTGATCCGCCCACCTTGGCCTCCCAAAGTGCTGGGATTACAGGTGTGAGCCACTGCACCAAGCAAAATAGCTTCTTTTTTATGGTTTTTATATATTTTGCTTTATGGTGATGCTTAAAATAGGAATAGTCCTGAGGAATAAAGTTCACCTTACCCTTTTTCCCAAGTTAGGAATAGACTAAAATATAAGCACTTTTCTTTCCAAACTGCCAAAAAGGAATGACAGAATTAACTTATCCAGATTACACCAGGTGAGACTGCCTCGGAGTCCTAGATAGGCAAGTTGTATTGAACAGACGTCTCTCTGTTCCTTGATAGCCTAAATATTCAGACAACATCAATAGAAAAAAATAAATCTTGAGCTCATGTTGGAGACAAAACTGAATTACTATGGACTCATCTGGAAAGGGACATATCCTTTTAGATGTCTTTTTATAAATCCATTGGTGAATCCACGAAAGAAGATATAATGTTTATTTTTAGTATGTTCTAAACCTAGCTGGTTTCTGGCTATGTTTCTTTGAAGACCAGAAGTGTCACTGATGAAAATGGTCTGCCCTTTGTTAATTATATGCTAGTACATAACTTGTTTCTTAGTGCTATGTCTGCCCATGGCTCCTAGGTCTGAAAACATGCACCTACCCCAATGAATTCAGTAATGAATAGTAGACCCTCGGCTGGAAACAGTAGCTCACACTTGTAATCCCAGCACTTTGGGAGGCTGAGGCAGGTGAATCACCTGAGGTCAGGAGTTCAAGACCAGCCAGACCAACATGGTGAAACTTCATCTCTACGAAAAATAATTAGCTGGGCATGGTGGTGGGTGCTTGTAATCCCAGCTACTCAGGAGGCTGAGGCAGGAGAATCGCTTGAACCCAGGAGGCGGAAGCTGCAGTGAGCAGAGATCAAGCCACTGCACTCCAGCGTGAAAGTCTGTCTCGTTTAAAAAAAAAAAAAAAGTACCAGTTAGCCCTGGTCTTGTTGTTGCAGTGTAACCAACACAGAGAAATTATCTCACTTCTGCAAAAGAGACAAGGAAACACTTTAACACTGAATTCTTTTTTTTTTTTTTTTTGCTTTCTCTACCCAGTAATTTATATCCAAGGTGTCATCTTGGATATTGTGAAGATGGACTTAAAACAGCTTATTTTTCCTTTCCTTGAGGGATATGTAGCTGGGAATACCCTTTAACATGAACCACCTCTATTCCCAATCACAGTATGAGTCATAATAGCCACAGTGTGAGTTACTATAATTCAGGCATGATAACTCATGATGTGGTATCAGAACCATCATTTTTCCTTTGGTCATACACTAGCCCTGATAACATAATTTTGCTGTTTGAGTTGTATGTATCAGTTTCTCATGGCATAAAGGAAACACTAGCACTTGGATCAGAGCCATATTCACACAGAGATAAGTGTTTTCAGCAAAACCATCTGAAGAAGCTTCTAACCTTCTAATTACATCTCTATTAGAAGGCGGTTAAGGAATATAGACATTAAGCTGGGGGCAGTGGCTCATGCCTGTAATTCCAACACTTTAGGAGGTTGAGGTAGGGGGATCCCTTGAGAGCAGGAGTTGTAGACCAGCCTGGGCAACACAGTGAGACCCTGTCTATACAGAAAAGAAAAATATTAGCTAGGCATGATGGTGCACGCCTATAGTCCCAGCTACTCTGGAAGCTGAGGTGGGAGGACTGCTTGAGCCTGCGAGGTTGAGACTGGAGTAAGCCATGATCACACCACTGCACTCTAGCCTGCAGGAGAGACTGAGACCTTGTCTCAAAAAGAAAAAGGGCATTAGAGTTAGACAGATCTTGGTTCCACATTAACCTTAGTTTTCTCCTAAGTAAAGTATAGGTAATAATACCTACCACATAGAGTTTTGCAGATAATTGAGGTAAGATGGTAACTATAAAACATTTAACTTAGAGCCTGGAACTTGCAAGTGTCAAACTATTATTAGTGTTTGGTAGTTGGCATATAATAGATGCTCAATAAATATTTGCTGAACGAATGACTAAAGGGATCACATGAAGCCTACTCCATATCAAATCTTTCACTGCCCAAGGTCTAGGAGTGCAGATCAGCTCACCATTTGGTTGCTCCCACATCACTGTATCCTGGCTGAGAACCTGAGCCTGTGTACTTTCCTTTCTCTCTTTGGTAAGAAAGGGCCTGGCTATTGTCAGACATTTCACTAGGGCTTTTTATTATTCTCTCTTGCTGGCTGGTGAATCGGGACTGTAGTTTCTACTCTGACTGAGATCATAGAAACCTCAAGAAACCCAACTCTCTTTTCTCCTTATGCCCGGTCTCCTGGAAATAAGAGGGCACTTAAACATTAACTCTTCAGTAGCCACATGGATCCCAAGCAGTGTTTGTGAGAAGTAAATGCAAAATCAAGGATTGGTACAGGGCTTTGGGATACTGCATTAAAAAAAATGGACCAAGAACACTACATGAATATTGTTGTAAATCAGCAGTGTGTTTCAGGAAGTTTGTTCTTCTGCAGAAGTTGAGTTTGTATCTATTCGTCTTCTAGTCTATTATTCAATCAGTTGTTAATTTTCTCATGGCCAATTATGATAAACATTAGAAAGAAAGTCAAGGAAGAACTTCCAGAGCATGTTTTGGAAGGAGAGTGGATAGAAGATGGGATGAGAGAGATTGTTATTTAGAAGGGTGATTTGAAGTACTTATTTATAGTCAGAGATAGACACTGAATCAAGACCACGTTAGTACATTGTGGTACATAATATTAGTACATTAAGACAGGGCCCAGATTTGTTGCCGTCTTCATCCCATCACTTTGCCCCTTCTTGCCCGTCTTCCCAATCCTGATGGAAGGTTGTAAATGGATTAGAGAGTCTGCAGTGAAATCTGTGAAGTAGCAGTTGGTCACCTTTTGAAAGGAGTCAAGACTAGGAGGATTTAAGAGGAGAAAGTGATGCTTTCTAGAGCATCTGGCTTACTGCCCAGGAAGAGCAGCTGTACCCAGAAACTTGGAGGCAGCAAGCCGAGTTGGAGATTACTGACCCCGCCACAGGGTACCTACCTGTCTCCTACCTTTGAATGGTCTGACCTTCCAACCAGCTTGCCTGGGGATGTGCTGCCCAGCTGGTGGCCTGACTATTTTTCCTTGTGACCACCAGGGGATCAAGTATTTGCTGGGCTAGAAGAGCAAGCCCGCCAGGCGATGATGAAAACTGATTTTCCTGGAGACCTTGGCAGTCAGCGACAAGCTATCCAACAACTAAGAGATCAGGACTCCAGTAGCAGTGAGTTCTGCACCTTCTGGTAATGACTCAGGGCAATGGGAGAAGAATTATCAGAGTGTGTGTGCTCTGGGGATTGTGCATGGGGGTTGGGAGAAAGACATGAAAAAGGAGATATGTGGATCCTCAGCATCCCTAAAGGTGGTCTAAGGTGTATAGGCATGTTTATCCAAAAAAAGAGGACAGGTTATATATATGTAATTTTATTTGAGACAGAGTTTTGCTCTTGTTGCCCAGGCTGGAGTGCAATGGCGCGATCTTGGCTTACCACAACCTCCGCCTCCCGGGTTTGAGCGATTCTCCTGCCTCAGCCTCCTGAGTAGCTGGGATTACAGGCATGTGCTACCACGCCTGGCTAATTTTGTATTTTTAGTAGCGACAGGGTTTCTCCATGTTGGTCAGGCTGGTCTTGAACTCCAGACCTCAGGTGATTCACCCGTCTCGGCCTTCCAAAGTGTTGGGATTACAGGCGTAAACCACCACACCTGGCCAATATATATATATATATATATATATATATATATTTTTTTTTTTTTAAACTATGGACTACAGTATTTGGCACAGTGCCATATACAAATAGGTTTGTTGGTTGTGACAGACAAAGATATAGGAATAAATAGTGCTCAGGTAGTCCTTGGGCTAGGTCAAATGAAAAAAATTCCTGTCTCCTAGGATCTATGTATTTGTAATCAATAAAATATAAGGTGGCATTAATGAAATCTTGCTTGAAGGCCCAGTTTTAATGTTACACAAGATTTGCTTAGTAATGAGATTATGCAGTGTATAAAATGCTAATGTCAAGGTCTTCCCATACCAATTCTCTAAGAAGATCCCTGTGGTTAAGACAGTGGCTGTTATAAGTTGAGCCTCATGGATTTTCTGTCTGTCCTGTGACCTGCCTGAACAAACACGTCTTGAGACGTCTATTCCTAGGAAGATTTCAGCACTCTCGCCACCTCATCCACTTGATACCAGTTATTATTAGGATGAATTCAGAATCACTTTTCCAATTTTTCATCACATTTGAGGCTGGGTTGGGTGAAAACAGGGAGAGAGGACTCTGTAACCTTCTAGGAGCATGTTTCCACCCAAGCTAATAATAAAGCAATATCAACAACAAATAATAATTTAGCAATTAATTCCTCAGACACTGAAAAATAACCCAAACATGTCTGGAAAACCCATGGAGGCCATTACTTTCTTGAGTAGCAGGTTGGAATTACAATATCTGCAAAAGTCTAATACATTTCCTTTCGGGAAAAGATGTACTATCCCTCTAGACAGCACATGTATTTTTTTTAATTTTTAATTTTTATTTTTTGAGACAGAGCCTTGCTCTGTTGCCAGGCTGGAGTGCAGTGGCACAATCTCAGCTCACTGCAACCTCTGCCTCCTGGGTTCAAGCGATTCACCTGCCTCAGCCTCTCAAGTAGCTGGGACTACAGGTATGCACCACCACGCCCAGCTAAGTTTTTATATTTTAGTAGAGATGGGGTTTCACCATGTTGGCCAGGATGGTCTTGATCTCCTAACCTCGCGATCTGCCCGCCTTGGCATCCCAAAGTGTTGGGATTACAGGCATGAGCCACTGCGCCCGGCCTTTTTTTTTTTTTTTCTAGTAGCAACATATATTTGGATTATTGCAAAATTACAAATATATGTTTGATACATCCGTTTATATTAAATTTACAAATATTTCAAATACGTTAGTGAGAAAACATGGTATGATCTAATCTGTGCCAATCCTTCATTATTGAGATGGATTCAAATGAAAGGAGCTTTGGGCTAGGGAATAAGATACATAAACCATAGCTCTTTCCAGGCCCCAAATCCAGTCCACCTGTCGCCTGGAATACCTAATAAGGACACATGTAACTACTAGCAGATTTGCTTAGACCTTCTCATGAAGAAAGGGAATGTAACTAGTTTTGCCCAGGAAGAAGTAAAATATAATGGCTGTTGCTCACATACTGGTGGATTTAGATATTATGCAAGGAGTAGTAGAGAAGGCAAGCAGCACTGTTAGCTAGGAAATGTGAGTCTCATGCGGACAGCCTGGTGAGACTCAGCCCTGTATTTCTCGCTTGCTCACATCAGGCCCAGAAGTCCAGGGTCCAGGGGTTGGGAGAGGGCTGGGGTGTCACAGTTTCCTTAGGCCTGGCTACCCCTTGAGATCTTCAAGGTACTAGCACTTTTTTTCCCTTTCAGAAAGAACTACCCTTATTATTTGTTTTTCTGATCCTTTTTCATTTTCTATTTTATAAGGAATAGAGAAGAAAAATCAGCTCACATAAACCTTGCAGATTCCCCAGGCAAACGAATACCTCCCCATAGCTACATCCTACCCCTCAAACTAAAACAAACTCAATTTATACTTTAGTCACAAGAAAGTACATTTCATCCTAAAGAATGGCCTATTCCTTCCACTTAATACATTCAGTTACCCATCAGATAATCCAAAGAATCAACAGAAACAGTGGACTTATTTAGCTTAGAATGCCATGTTCCAATGTAGAGTAAGAACAGAGTGAGTTGGATACCACTGCAAAGTGCCTGAGGTTGGTTGCTGTGCTAATTTTTCCACTGTAATGAACAACCCTTTCCCTATAAAGTGACATCATTTCAAACTTATTTACTACTGTTTCCTTTGTTGGTAAGAGGGAAGAAAAACTTGCTGATGTTCCTGTAAGTGTGCCTTGCGGTTTGCTGGGAAAGGAGATTAGTGGGGTTCAGAGGAGAATAGAAATAGTGACACCACAGAGGAGCTGTGCAGGGGGCTCATGGTGAAATCAGTGGGAAGTGTCGGTAAGTCAGAGGTGGTATGCTGTGGGAATGAGCTCAGTGTAAGGTACTCGGGGAGGTGTGATTTGAAGTGTGAGATATTCGAAAACTGTGAGTCAGAAAGATTATTTTTATGATCACACAGAGGGCACAGTAACCATTTCCGATGCAGTTTTGCCTCACTTCTTCCCTTTACGTGTATATGGCATAATAAATGACAGCTATAGCTGATTTCCACTTGACATAATATGTACCCAGCTAAACTGTATAAACTATATAATGGAAGATCTGAAAGTGTTTTCTATTATAACTGCCAACTCCAGGGTGGAGAGCAGCTCAGGATGTATTCATGCAAAAAATCAGAACAAGTGACCAGTTTGTGTGTTCCAGGTGACAGTGAGGGTGATGAAGAGGAGACCACACAAGATGAAGTCTCTTCCCACACATCAGAGGAAGATGGAGGGGTGGTCAAAGTGGAGAAAGAGTTAGAAAATACAGAACAGCCTGTTGGTGGGAACGAAGTGGTAGAGCACGAGGCAAGTGACAATGGCCCCTGGGTCCAGACATCCAGCAATGCCCTACCCTTCTGCCTGTCCTGATGCTGTTCACCCTTGCGGCATAGTCTTGCCTCTATGGTTTCTTGGTCCTGCATAGGAGGCCTCTTCATTTGTGGCACCAGAACCCACACCTCAGATTCTCAGTTCTCACCACATTCAGCTATGCTTTTCTATATACACATCACTGCGCCCGTGCACAGCTTCTTTCCTACAGCTCCCCACATCTTTCCAGACAGAAGAGCCAATTTAGTGAAGTGGAAAGCTGACTTCCCAATGTGGACTCTTGAACGTGCTTGCAAATCTAAGTCAAGGCGTCACCTGGAGTGCCACCTTCTCACTAACTTTGTTCCTGAGGATTCCTGCAAGGAACATGACAGGAAAAATGCTACCCCTGTCTCTGCAGAGTTTATCTTCAGGGAAAAAAATAGATCGGCTCTCTCTGAAGCAATCCTGTGTCCTCGTGGCTGAAAGCCATACTTCCCTTTCAACTATTACTTTTTCTTCAGCCCACAATGGGAAGCTAAGAATAACATGTGCCATCAGTCTGGGTTCCTTTTAACAGGGTATCCTGTTTAAAAAGCTGGGGCAAAAATAAAAAAAAGGTGGGGCAGGGAAGAGACAAGTGAAGAGTCCTAATGAGTTGCCTATTTGTTGAATCACAGGTCACAGAGAATTTGAATTCTGACCCCTTACTTGAACTCTGCCAGTGTCCCCTGTGCCAGCTAGACTGCAGGAGCCGGGAGCAGCTGATTGCTCACGTGTACCAGGTATGGATTGGGAAGCTGTGTGCTCTAAAACATGAGTGTGGGCAGCTTGTTTGTAGCCCAGATCTTGCTTTGGCCTTTATCTCGCTCTGACTCCTGAAGGAGTCTTGGGTTGTCGCTTCCGTTAAGATTTGGCTTAAAGAGGCTGGGTGTGGTGGTTCACACCTGTAATCCCAGCACTTTGGGAGGCTGAGACAGGTGGATCACTTGAAGTCAGAAGTTTAAGACTAGCCTGGCCAACATGGTGAAACCCCATCTCTACCAAAAATACAAAAATTAGCCGGGTGTGGTGGCGTGCACACCTATAGTCCCAGCTACTGGGGAGGCTGAGGCAGGAGAATTGTTTGAACCCAGTAGGCGGAGGTTGCTGTGAGTCAAGATCACACCATTGCATTCCAGCCTGGGCAACAGAGTTAGACTCTGTCTCAAAAAAAAAAAAAAAAAAGATTTGGCCCAAAGACAGGCATGGTGGCTCACACCCAGTATACCAGCTGAGAGGCTGAGGTGGGAGGATTGCTTAAGTCCAGGAGTTTAAGACCACCAGCCTGGGTAACATAGCAAGATCCAAGCTCTACAAAAATTTTTTTAAAAAATTAGTTGGGTGTGGTGGTGTGTGCCTGTGGTACCAGTTACTTGGAAGACTGAGGTGGGAGGATAGCTTGAGCCCAAGAGGTTGAGGTTGCAGTGATCACATTTCAGCCAGGGTAACAAGAGTGAGACTGTTTCAAAAAGAAAAAAAAAAAAACAGATTCTGCTCCAAGCTTCCAACATTTTAGAAACTAAATGAGATATGTTGGATAAACATGTCTGGGTTTCCAGGCAGACACACTGTGAAAATTAAGTGACTTTTTCTAAATTATTTAATGCATATTTTAAATAGTGAAATAGAAACTAATGTGTACTAATAATGAGGGCTTTGTGTTAAAGAAAAAAAAATTAGTTAACATGGGTGGGTACAGTGGCTCACACCTGTAATCCCAGCACTTTGGGAGGCCAAGGTGGGAGGATCACTTGAGGTCAGGAATTTGAGACCATCCTGGCCAACATGGTGAAACCCTGTCTCTACAAAAATACAAAAAAATTAGCTGGGTGTGGTGGTGCATACCTATAATCCCAGCTACTTGGGAGGCTGAGGCAGGAGAATGGCTTGAACCCAGGAGGCAGAGGCTGCAGTGAGCTGAGATTGTGCCACTGCACTCCAGCCAGGGTGACGAAATGAGACTCTGTCTAAAACAAAAACAAAAACAAAAATTAGTTAACACAAATGTTTCTGAAATACCAGTGAAAATTAATGTAAACCAGGGGATCTAAATACCAGACTTTTGTGTTCTTTTTACCATGATCCACTCACAGGGCACCTGTGCCTCCTGGCTGGTATTGACAAGGCATCGATACACATGGCAGCCTGGGCTGTACCATAAAGATAGTTGGTTCATGAGGACGAGTGTTACTTCAGAAGACTATCTTGAAAAGATTGAGAAAACAAGATATAAATACCTGTTGCATACCAGTATTCCATGCCAGCTTCTAGATTTGGCCTTCATTGTTTTCTTAACATGTATTTGTACCTGCACAGTGTGAGCCAGGGAGACAGAGAAATTATCCGAGACATGAATTCTTCTCAGGCACTGAAGAGGGCTCTGGTGCCCTACTGTTTCTTAAGCCAGTCACATGTTCCAGAAGACAGGCAGAACTCAAGCTAATGAAATCTAAGCCGTGGTCTAAATAATGGCTAGAGCCACTAATACAGGAGACTGCCTTTTCTAGGGGCTAAACAGAATACTTGTAAATTCCTTATTCTGAGACTAATGAAAGGAAACGTTTCCCAGAAAGCTGATTTTTTTTTTGAGATGGATTCTCACTCTGTCACCCAGGATGGAGTACAATGACACAATCTCGGCTCACTGCAACCTCCACCTTCTAGGTTCAAGTGATTCTCCTGCCTCGGGCTCCTGAGTAGCTGGGATTACAGGCGTGTGCCACCACACCTGGCTAATTTTTGTATTTTTAGTAGGGACAGCGTTTTACCATGTTAGTCAGACTGGTCTCAAACTCCTCACCTCATGATCCACCCACCTCGGCCTCCCAAAGTGCTGGGATTACAGGTGTGAGCCACCGTGCCTGGCCAGAAAATTGTTTCTAAGTGGGTGCAGATTGTCCTGGAGGTAGCACCAGACTGACAGATCAAGGCTCTGTTTTACAGCATACTGCAGCAGTGGTGAGCGCCAAGAGCTACATGTGTCCTGTCTGTGGCCGGGCACTTAGCTCCCCAGGGTCATTGGGTCGCCACCTCTTAATCCACTCAGAGGACCAGCGATCTAACTGTGCTGTGTGTGGAGCCCGGTTCACCAGCCATGCCACTTTTAACAGGTCAGCTGGGCAACTATCCCTATTGTGCTGAGAGTAAATTACTGGGTATGAGTTCTGCATTCTGAGGTTAAAGTGAAGGCTAGAGATAGGTAACGCAAAGGCAACTGATGCATGACTACCTGGAAGTACAAGTAAGAAGGTGAGGAAATATGCCCATTCCATTACATAGCCCCAGAGGAAAATGAATTCCCATTTCTTTTCCTGTCAGTGTATCTTCAACTAGAAAGAGATGCAGGCAAGTCCAAGAACACTCATGATAAAGCATGGAAAAAGAAGTTATAGGGTGCAGAGGGCCCTGGCGTGAGGATGCAGTCTCCACTGTGTCCTAGGAAGACTGGAACATTGTATCCTTGTCCCGTTTGTCTAGTGTACAGTGCAGTCTGCCTTTGCATGCAGGCAGTGCAAGGGAAGGTGGTGAGTTGGTGGTCTGCACCTTGCCTGAAGGAGGTCTCCACCTCCAGGAGCCTCCATTCCCACAGCAGGATTGCCCCTGCAAAGCTCTTACCAAAACCATAATTCTGGCTTGTGTGAAAATGCCAAGGGTATGTCTGATTTCTGGTGCGCTGCTGTGGCAGGTGGCTCAGTCATTAATTCCAGGTGGGCTTTAAGACTTGATAGACACCCTTGCTCGAAGAGAAGGGATGGGGCAGTAGAAGAGGTCTGTCAAGCATTCAGTGACCCCTTGTGGTGAGTGTGGAGCCCCTGGCATCATAGGAAAAGAATAAGGCAGGGCTGGAGTTCTGACCCTTGCTAGAAGGAAACACTAACCATCCAAAATGTTTGCTTTCCAGTGAGAAACTTCCTGAAGTACTCAATATGGAATCCTTACCCACAGCCCACAACGAGGGCCCCTCCAGTGCTGAAGGCAAGGACATTGCCTTTAGTCCTCCAGTGTATCCTGCTGGAATTCTGCTTGTGTGCAACAACTGTGCTGCCTACCGTAAACTACTGGAAGCCCAGACTCCCAGTGTACGCAAGTGGGCCCTTCGTCGACAGAATGAGCCTTTGGAAGTAAGGCTGCAGCGGCTGGAACGAGAGCGCACGGCCAAGAAGAGCCGGCGGGACAATGAGACCCCCGAGGAGCGGGAGGTGAGGCGCATGAGGGACCGTGAAGCCAAGCGCTTGCAGCGCATGCAGGAGACAGATGAGCAGCGGGCTCGCCGGCTGCAGCGGGATCGGGAGGCCATGAGGCTGAAGCGGGCCAACGAAACACCAGAAAAGCGGCAGGCCCGGCTCATCCGAGAGCGAGAGGCCAAGCGGCTTAAGAGGAGGCTGGAGAAAATGGACATGATGTTGCGAGCTCAGTTTGGCCAGGACCCTTCTGCCATGGCAGCCTTAGCAGCTGAAATGAACTTCTTCCAGCTACCTGTAAGTGGGGTGGAATTGGACAGCCAGCTTCTGGGCAAGATGGCCTTTGAAGAGCAGAACAGCAGCTCTCTGCACTGAACCACACCTTCCTGCCTGCCATCCTACCCACCCACCCACCCACACGCACGAGGCCCTGTCCTTATTGCCAGAGGCAGGCCCGGGTTTGTTGCAGGTGGACCTGTGCAGCCCTTGCATGTGGGAGCAGGATGATGGGGTCAGGAGGGACCTGGCTCAAGGCAGCTCTGGACAAGGGAGCAGGCACTCCAGAGAACTGGACTCCCCAGCCCACTGCCACAGGCCTGCTTCTAGGACTGTGGGGCCCCTGTGTGGCCCATGAAGTTGTGAGGTCAAATAAATTAATTTTATCTTTACTGACCCTTTCCTGCTTTTCTCTCAATGTCATTCTAGCAAGTGACATTGGATGGACAGTGGTTTCTGGTGGCTTGTCCTTTTCTTAGGGAAGGTGCTCCTCAGCTTAGAAGCAGAGGCCCTTATTTGAGCCTTTACAAGATGCCAAGGAATAAGCACGACACCAAAGAAAAAACCAATGTTGACTGTGATAATTATTCCCACAACCATAATGAAGATACCTATGGTCCCAAGGGCTATTGAAACCTAGCTTACCTTTTCTAAACTTAGAAGCCTCACCTCATAACTGGTATTTCCTAAAGACTATACAATACCTTCAACTAGGTGTGCAACTTTTCCCAGCAATATTGTTTGTTGAACATTTACAATTCTATCTCAGACAGTAGTCAGCTGCATCCAGGAATAGGCTCAGAGAAAAAATAGCTACAATATTAAGGTCCGCAGCACCAACAAACTCATGTTTGCGTTTTATTTATGTTTTATTTATTCACCAGAGGCAAGATAGGATAATAAACTCACTGAAGAAAATCCAGAATTAAGGTGGTTAAGAACGTTCAGGTCAATAGTGGTTAAGGCTAGACCAAAATTATTACTCTGGCAGGTTGTATGGCTGCCAAACCATGGAGGAGACAAGAGCTGAGGTCATTTCTAAAAAGTTTCTGTGATGGTACAGAACAGGCACAGAACCTTCCCAGCCTGCACCAAAGGTTGTGTTCAGTTTAGATAATTATAGATCTTGAGGTCCAGAAGGAAGTGCCCTAGTTAAATTGTAGCCAGAAAAATAACTATGCCAGGAATGTGGACTTCTTCCAGTGTCTTAACAGGGAAACTTGGATTCCTCTCTGACCAAGGCTGTTTAACAGTGTCAACTGACCTCCACCAAACTAGGGTTTTCTTTTGTTGTTTTGTTTTTGAGATGAAATCTCACTCCAATGCCCAGGCTGGAGTGCAATAACGCAATCATGGTGGCTCACTGCAACCTCTGCCTCGGGGGTTCAAGTGATTCCTCTGCCTCAGCCTCCCAAGTAGCTGGGATTACAGGCGTGTACCACCACACCTGACTAATTTTTAGTAGAGACAGGGTTTCACCATGTTGGCCAGGTTGGTCTCGAACTCCTGACCTTAGGTGATCTGCCTGCCTTGGCCTCCCAAAGTAAGGGGAATACAGGCATGAGCCACCGTGCCCAGCCTAGGGTTTGTCTTTTTGAGAAAGGATATCACTCTGTCACCCAAGCTGGAGTACAGCAGCACATAGTTCATTGTAACCTCTAACTCCTGGGCTCAAGTGATCCTCCTGCCTCAGCCTCCTAAGCAGCTGGGAACATAGGTGTGTGCCACCATGCCCAGTTAATAAATTAAGGTTACTTCTACCAGGCAGGCTAAAATATTTGTTTTGAAAAATACATTTAAAAGAAAATACTTACTTGGCGTGCTTGTAATCAACTCCAGCTACCTGGGAGGCTGAGGATGAGAATCACTTGAACCCAGGAGGCAGAGGTTGTAGTGAGCTGAGATTGTGCCAATGTACTCCAGCCTGGGCCACAGAGTAAGACTGTCTCAAAAAAAAAAAAAAAAAGACCAGCCTGGCCAACATGGTGAAACCCCATCTCTACTAAAAATCCAAAAATTAGGCGTGATAGCAGATGCCTGTAGTTCCAGCTACTAGGAAAGCTGAGGCAGGAGAATCACTTGAACCGGGGAGGCAGAGGTTGCAGTGAGCAGAGATCACACCACTTCACTCCAGCCTGGGCAATACTCTGTCTCAAAAGAAAAATGAAAAAGAAACAACTGAACCAAATGCCTTTCTCTCAGAGCTCCATACTGGAGTCCTACTTGGATGCTTCAAAATGACAGTCCTCACTAAGTGCCAAAGATGATTCTGAGCACTTTACATGGATGATCTCAGTCTTCACAAGAAGCTGAAATAATACAAACTCAGGAGTTGCATCTCTGAGTTCAAAAGTGCCACTTACTAGCTGTGTAATTGTGGGGAAGTTAGTTAACCCTTGTCTTTGCTTCCCCATCCACAAAATAGAAATAATACTAGCAACAAATGCTTATTCCTATATATAAAGCACTTAGGATATCTTATAGCACATAATAAGTGTTCCATAAAGGCCACTTACTACTGGCAAGCTTTCTAAATTTTAGGCAGTAGCTATGATTGGGGCTGACTTATTCTAGCATATTATTGGTGGTATTCCTGAGTAAAGAATTAGGGAGGAGGCCAGCAGTGAAGGTAATGACAGATCCTTGTGAGTCCACTAAGTCTTCAGGTAGACTTCTAGGTCTCTGAAATCCACACCAACTGAGGGGAGAGACGATGCCAGGACAAGCTCATGCCATCTGCCTTGTGCTCACCACACAAAGATAGGTACCATATAACTGCTCCCAACAAGGTTTCTATCCCCCACCCCATGGCCACCATCTAAGGCTGGGATAGGAAGAAGGCGCAAACACCAAAAGGAAAAGCTAGTAGTTTATATAGATAGATATATAGATATATAGATATTGATAGATAATTGTGTTTACATAGTCCACAAGTTAAATGCAGGTATCCATAAGAAGAGCATTAACAATAAAAATACAATCTGTGTGTAGCCAAGTACAGAGACTTAAAATGGTAAAACAGCAAAAAGGATCTCACAAAAGTACAAATATACAGTACAAATTGATTTATTTAAAACAGTTACAAAAAAGCACAACAAAATAGAGATTATCCTTAGAATTATTAATGCTTTGTTAAAGATCAGGTAGGATTAGAGGGTAAGAAATGGTATTGGGTGGAGGGAGCACCTGACTAGTTCTAAGGCTTTAGATACAATGCAGTTGATTACATATTAATTCAGCCATTACATACTGGGGATAGTAGATGGGGGATCAGTATTTATCTACAGGGAACTCCTACCAGATCCATCCAGACCTCCCCAGTGCCATCCTCCTCCACTCCTTAGGACCCTAAAGCCACCTGGATGACAACATTCTCATCTTTCTTTCTCCACCCCATTCCCTATCCATATATTCTTCCCTCACCTAAGGTGCTGTGCAAGCTGAGAGCAGTCTGCTCTCTGCAGCTGGATCATATACTGTTTTGGCTACAGGGATCCTGTGTGACTAAGAAGGTTGTAGGGGATAGCCTTATTTTAATACTTCAAGTTAGCCATGAGTACAGTCAGTCCCTTCCCCAACACAATCTAGATTCTCTTGAATGCAAGTTGCAAGTATCAAGCAAGTGAGGGATCAACCCTGCCTTCGGCAATACCAGCAACACACTAACCACTCACAGCTCACAACTACGTGCAAACTCCCTGTCCGGGGGTGGGTGTAAAACCACTGTGTCATCAGCTCACTCTCGCTCGCTCTCTCTCTATCTCTCTCTCTCTCTCTGAAGAACCTCAGTCCCCATGACAGTCATAAAGACAAATAAATGCTTGCAAGTTTTACAATAGGTAAAGGCACATGGGCTGCTGCCACACACACACTGCAGGCAGGAACCCAATTTGAGGCCATCTTCACTGCTCGGCATTTGCAGTGGAATGGCTTTGGGATCACAAAGACTTTGAGTTTGCAATCTACCAGGGAGGGATCTAGATTTAACAGGAGAACTAATAAAGAAACCTTTAGTGTGAAAAGTGCATTTATGACTATTGTTCCTGCTGGGGAGGCAGCAGGGCAAACCTCGACACCTCTCCTCCTTCCGCCCCAGGCACTGTGCATAGTCTGCAGCTAAGGAGAGAGTGCAGTTGACTCTAGCATCTCTGGGGCCAATGTCATCCTAGGCCCAGACCAGGCTTCTGGTCCAAAGATGGATCCTAGAGTTGAAAGAGCAACTGACAGCTGCAAAGACCCAGATGCTTATTTTATTATTGCATAATGTGGGAGACCTTCCCTACCCCAGGGAAGCTGGAGGGTGAAGGCTTCCCAGCAAAGGGCAAACAGGTTCCTGATCAACATCCAACCTAATAAGGTTCAGCTCTTCAACTGTAGTGTACACTTTTTCCCAACTGGAAGGTACTGTAGCTTCACTGTCATTTAGTAAACTTAGCCTAGGAGGCCAAGTTGTCTCCCTAAAACTTAGTCTCTGTCCTATTTACTTTTTTTAATAAGACTGTGACCTAACCTCCCATGGCCAATTCAATCAATCAGATTATCTTTACTCCAGTGGACCCAGGCCTTTTCCCAGTCAATCCATGTCCACCCTTCATCTCCAGAGGGATCACTCCACTCCAGTATGCCTGCTTGCTGCAGGTTCAAATCACACCACCATCCTGTACTTCCCTCTAAATCGCCCATGATGCCCACTGGTAAAAAGAAAACTAAACCCCACTTGAGGGGCTATTTCAGCCAAACTTTAAATCCTCTCCAAACTCCAGAATTCACCTAACTGGAGCTGGAGGAACTACAATGGGATGCTGGCATGGGCCCTAATGTGGTTCCCTTCATTTCGTTTTTAAAACAGGATACAAGAAACCACAGAGGAAAGAAGTTAATACAACAGAAGACACCCACTAGTAGAAACCTGCTTGTTTCTCCCTCAAGATAGTCAGACATTTGGAGCCAAAGGGCTCCCAACAGCACTGAGAAGCCATATCCCTTTGGATTCACCAACCCACCAGCAGCATTTCATACCATCCCTATTCAACATGACTTTGCAATAAAATAACATGTCAGAACACAGGTAAGAATGAAACAGACGCCTGGTCTTAACCTACATGGCCAAAGACATGGAAGGACAGGAGCTACAGAGGGCAGCAGACAGGACAGTGAGCAGACAGCAGCAGTGGCAAAGCAGTGCAGAGCAAAGCCCTTGGTGTTATAACCAACTGGGACCAAGAATGTAGAAGGATCAGCCCAGATCTGCTGGGGCCCCTCCCCTCAGGTACAAGCACTCAGCTCTGAACTCCCAGAGCCCCTTTCCCGCATGCCACCTCTCTTCCTAATATACACTAATCTTGATAGGAATGATTCAAAACTTGGCTTATTATCCATCCATTACTGGGTTCCCCTATTCCCCTACAGTGCCAGACAGTCTGCAGTTCTCCTTTCTATTCCTAAGCTCTGGGAACATCCTACTGCTGACAAGGGAAGACCAGATATCCAGCCACTGCTTCTACTACAAGGCCAGTCCTAGAGTCGCCTTCTGTTGGAAATCTTAGTGATAGTGAAGGTTTCAGCAGAAAACATATTCAAAGAAAAAGCAGGTCTTCAGATGAGAACATAGAGAGCTTCTTGTTGAAGATGCAGAAGTTGGAAAATGATATGCCTATAGGAGCAGCAGCTGCTACTAAATGTGAACTTGGATCCTGTATAGGATTTACACACGAGGCAAATGCAAATCGAGAATCAGTTTGGGGGCCGGGCGCGGTGGCTCACGCCTATAATCCCAGCACTTTGGGAGGCTGAGGCAGGTGGATCACGAGGTCAAGAGATTGAGACCATCCTGGTCAACAAAGTGAAACCCCGTCTCTACTAAAAATACAAAAATTAGCTGGGCACGGTGGTGCGCGCCTGTAGTCCCAGCTACTTGGGAGGCTGAGGCAGAATTGCTTGAACCCAGAAGGCGGAGGTTGCGGTAAGCCAAGATCGTGCCATTGCACTCCAGCCTGGGTAACAAGAGAGAGACTCCGTCTCAAAAAAAAAGAATCAGTTTGGGACGCAGCAAAAGAATATGCACAGATTTCGTACAGAAAATACATTATCTGAAAGATAAGGAAATCTTATTTCTGGGCTGTTCAGATGGTACTTTGTTTCCCATTAAATATACAATGTGAACATTTTTATTAAAGGGAAATATTTCATATTAAAAAAAAAGGCTCTGGCCCTTGTCAACTGCTCATTCCTAAAAAGTTGACAACTTCCCACTCAAATGCTCACTCTCTAAAAACCGCTCTCGTGTCTCCTGCAAACTCAGGAAATTCCTATAAAGAAGAATGGACACACCACAGGTTAGTCTTACTTTTCATGCCTGGAGGAAAAGACTAGAGGTTAAAGGCAAGGGGAAGGCCATAGCTCTGACTAAGGTTTAGAGCACAAACCTTCTTTTTCTGGGGACCATATTTTATGAAAGATACCTTTGCAGCTCAGCAAGATCAAGTATTAATATGTTACATATGCATGGCACGATATTGTGGTATTACAGGAGCTGCTGGTATTGCTTCACCAGCAACAGACACAAGAGGAGCAACAACAGAAAGGTCAGGGCCCAACTTGCCAGGGTCCTCAAGAATTTCTCTTTCCAGAATTCAATGGAAGTTACCAGTTTGTAAAGTCACAACTAGCCCAAGTGGAGGGTGATTTGATTTAAACTAACTAGTTTATATCTAGTTAGACATAGGTTTGCCCCATAAAGAGAAAGCTCAGCTTGTATCCTTGCGGTCATTTCTTGAGCATCTACTGTGTACACATTACTAAATTCAGTTGATGAGCCTTCCTATGAAGAAGGATGTTTGTGAGAAACCTGTGCAAACAATGAACTCTAGGAATAAAGTTGCTCATGAAACCGCCAGAGATGAGGCCTTCTCCCAAGGCTCTCATTTGAAGGGATTCCACAAGACTCAACCCCACAGGCCCCCCACTGTAGGAGACAAGCCAGAGAAAGCAGCATTCAGAGAATGGGGGACAGAGAAGAGGAAAGATATGATCCCAAATGCAATACAAAGTTGGTGTCTGGTTCTGACACAAACCAGATACTCAAGCACTCGCAGTCAGGTCAGCAACTTCCTTTGATGGACCCCTAAAAGTTGACTGACCAGGCAACTGCTTTCAAGGAATCAAACAGTGGAGTGTAGGGCTTGGAGCAAACAAGCCAGTTTCAGTCACTCTGTTCCCCCAGGAGAACAACCTTTAGCACCTGAACACTAAGAATGACTCCATTCTCAGAACTTCCCCTCCCCCCAGGAGGTAGGTAAGATTATTTATCCCCATTTGGCAGGTGGGGAGGAAGTGAAAGAGCCAGAGGTCACGAGACTTGCAGAAAGTCCTTGACAGAGCAGAGATCAGACCTCAGAGGTTTGGACTCCTGATGCCAGGCCAGGTCTCAGCCAATCCAACTATACCTTATAAAGGAAATGCCAGGATCATAGCCTGGGAGAAGTCTAACCAGAGAGCTGGGTGGACAATACCCTGAGTTGCCTTCAAGAGTCTAAAGACCCCCAAAAAACAAACAAAAAACTCACCCACCTGAAAGCTAGTGGGGGAGCCTAATTCCCCATACCCAATGGAACTCCACGGTCTGAGCTGATGCTAAAAGTTGTGAAGAAAATGTGGGATTAAGACATTGGGGGGGAGCAAGAGGGGGGTGCAAATGTAATTAAGATTGAAAATACGTTTTGCAGAGGAATATACCACCACAAAATGACATCTACCTCAGGTATTGAAATGTTATCAAGACTATCCTAGAATCTTAGAGCTAGTGGTGGGAGGGGATAGCCTGGAGATGCCAGAATGCTGGGAGAAGCAGTGGAATAAGACAGGAGGGGACATATGGGACATCTGAAAATGCCATGATGGGCACTGCCCAGCCACGAATTCGCCGTGGCTCAGGGCACAGTTCCCTTCTTGTTTTTCCACCTAGCTGTTTGGCAGTGGAAGTGGAGGGGACGTGATTTTGAGATTTTAAAAGTAAAGATTATAGCTGACGGGGAAATCCGAGTCCCCTTACCCACCAAAAACTAGAGGTCTTGGTCAGAGTGGACAAAACCAACTTTGCAGACAAGAAAAGGCAGTGCAGCTACAAACGAGGCCCAGGTCACAACACCATGCAGAGGTCAGGGCAGCAGGAGGGTGGGGGCGGCGCAGGCACTTAGGCACAACACAGACAAAGGTGGGGGATTGGTGCCTAGGGAAGAGTCTACTAGCTCTTTCTAAAGTCACCATTACCAACGAGATTCTGTGAGATTTCAAAGTGGGTCTGGCATGCTGAGTTGGAGGAGCTTTCTTAGGTGAGCTACCTTTCCAGAAGCCCTGCCTAGAACCCAGTCAGCCTGGCTATCAAGTCTTTCTCCCAAAGTCCCCTGACTGAGTCCCTGGCAAGGTAGTACTTCACTCTGCACCCTGCAGGGGCTCTTTCTCTGGCCCCCGTGCTGCTAGAAGCCTTGTAGGCGGAATGGTGAGGAGAGATGGGGAAGGGCTATGAAGCAGAGGATCAAGCAGAGTCCTGTTGATGAGAGTGCTCCTCCCCCACACACCCAGCCACAGACATCTGGAACAAAATCACCCTTTAAAGTGCACATCTCTCACAAGAAGGGTTCTGGGTGGGAACCCTCTTATTTCCAACCTTGGGGCCTCCTGCCCTTCCACCACAAAAAAGGAAAAAAACTTCTGACAGTTTAACTGCTACTATAAGCTGTGGATCATCATTTTTGGCTCTTTCTTTACTCCCTCCCTCTGCCATCTGCTCCCAAAGCCTTGACTTTCCTTTGCAGGAGCTAGGGATGGGGAGGAAAGAACAGGGAGGCCCTGATTTTGGAATGTTTTTTCTCCTGTGTGCACCCCCTTCCTTCCTTGCCCCAGGCCTGCTGCTCCCCATTACAACACCCTCTGGGGTTGTCCTGAAAGGACGCCACGGGGTAATAAGCAACAGATCCTGCCTTGGGAGGCTGACTTCATGCCTCCCGTTTCCCCCAAATCTCACTGCCAAGAAAGCCATTCCCTGCTCGGCGTGTGCAAATCCTCTGCCTGCTCATGGCGGCGAGGCTCAGCTCTGGGGTAAAGCCCAGTCCTGGTCTGGGAAAGAGTTTCATTTTCCTGCATTGGAACGCCCTTCAATGGACAGCTTTACCTCCTGTGGAATGAAAGAGGGACGGAGCAGTGCGGCCCGTGCCTCCTCCCCTTGCATGCTGTATCTTTGGAAGCTTGGGGCTGGCCAGCAGGCCTGAGCACCAGGCTCAGGCTGGGAAGGCTCTACCACATGGGAGCCCTCTCCTGCCAGCTGGCTCTTCCCCTCACTGTCACATAGCTCTCTGGGTCCCAAGACGGTCCTCTCAGGCCTTTCTCGGGGGGGACCCAGCTGGCCTGGGGGAGCACAGCTGGCCTGAGAAACTGAGTTACTGTTCAAGCTCTGTAAACTGATAGAGATGCAGACATCTCCCACCTGTAGCCGATGGCAGGGCAGAGAGAAGAGTTGTGTCGTCCGCCCAGGGTTGCAGGAGGACCAACCCTGGCCATATACAAAGAAGGGGTGCTCAGGGGGCACCTCGATGCTCACTTTGCTCTGCTGCTCACCAACCACAAAATGCAGCATGACAAATCCAGGCCATTGGCTCTCCTGAATGTCCACGACCGTGCTAGAGTCAATCTTCAGCCCCCCGCTCACTTCGGCACTGCGCACAAAATCCTGCGTCTGGAGGTCCTCCACCCGCTTCAGCTCTCCCGTAGCCAGCTGGATGATGGCGCCTTTCATGAAATGGGAAGGCAAGTGGGAGGAGGTAATGGGGGACGGTGTTGGCTCCTTGTCTGGAAAGGTGGCTCTGGCCTGCACGTCCAGACTTGATGCTACCAGGATCTCCGAGCCCACAGGCAGCAGGCCTGAGTCAGTTCCAGTGGGCACCAGGTTGCCATTGGCTACAACCATTGCTTTGGGTAAAGGTCTATGTTTTACTGGTTCCTGATGGGACTGAGGGTAGAACCCATGGACCTGATTTTTCTCTGCCAGCTCTGCAGGGTTCCTGGCTGACCCCTGTCCCTCACCCTGATGGTCGGGGGTATGATGGGATAGGTTGAGGGGGCTATGTTCCTCCTTCCTCTGAGCTGCCACCACACGATAGTCCTGAGAAGCTAAAGCGCCAACCACCCGCTGGACCTCGAGGTCAGTGTCCGGGGTCCCTCGGTGTGCCAGGGCTGCTACCTCCACCCGTGGAGTCTGAGAACCTGAAAACAACTGTCCATCCACCACACATTCTACCACGGGCACCAGTCCCTGGCCTTCACCCTTGCTATTGGGGGAGTCAAGGGCTTCGCTTTCCCGTCTTAGGATATTTCGCTCTCGCTGTCTCTGTCCTCCATTTGTAGCAGCTGCTTCCAGAGCAGACTGGCTCTCCTGAGGGGTAAGAACTGGGCTGGCACCTGCTGGAGGGGTTTCATGCAAAGTATACCCAGCAGGTAGCCTGGACATCTGATAATAAATGGGCATCCGGCCTGGAGCAAGGTCCAGCGGCTGAGTACTTGAATGATGCGGCAACTGCCCAGGTGGGGAGGTGGCAGGCGGGGCTTTGTTAAATGAGTGGGCCGGGGAGGGAGCCTGCGGGGGAGGAGTGGCTCCTTCTGCCAGAAGTGAGGCATATGGCACAAAGTGTGGAAGGTGAGAGGTGGCAAGGTTGGCAGAAGGAGATAGGAGGGGACTTGGTAGGAAATTAGGTGGCACAGCATAGGGAAGGCTGTAAGGAGACCCAATGAACTGCAGCGAGGTGGATGGGAGCTGAGCATAGTGGATTGGGGGATAGTGGATGCCTGGATGCTGAATCAGTGAAGACGCTACATTAAATGTGGGGGGCAAGGGGCTCATATTCACCACAGATGGGAGGCCAGTTGGTGAGAAGGTGGCAGGCGGCACAGCCACCTTATACAGCATGCCATACTGGTCCACTGTCAGACCGGTGATAGCCTCAGCTCCATCACCCCCCAGGCTGACTCTAGCTCCTGCCTGGCTCTGCCCGGCAACCACAACCCCTCGGGACCATTCAGAGGCATCACTGGAGGGTGTGTGGTTAGTGGAGCAGCTGGTAGTTCTCCCCATATTCTCGCTGGTCACGGGGAGGTCTCGTTTCTTTGGTGGAAGGCATTCCTGACTCCTCTCATGAACAGGTTTCATATTGCTTTGTGGTGTTCCTGGAGCCTGGAAGGAGTCGACTTGCTCCCTGGGGCATCAGAAGGGGCTTCGCTGTGGCTTCCCTGTACCCCTCTCTGCTTCTGGCTGGGGCGCCCACATCTGCTAGGGAACAAATCAGAGGCAAAGAAAAGTAACCTAGGGATGAGCCAAGACAAAGGAAATAGGAAGAATTGTGCCATGGAGGAAGATGTAACAAAAGGGATTGTTAGAAAAAAGGAGGTAAAAGAAGGGGGCAGACAAGGAGACTACCCCCAACTCATCCAGACTGGAACATGAGAGAAACAATGGGGGAAACAACAAGACACCAAGAGCTACAAGGATGACTATTCACCAATGCGCAAATAACCTGTGGGCTCCCCAAGCCCAGAGAGACCAACAGCTTCATGGTTAGTCATGTGTCTCATGAGCATCTTGAGTCTTTTCAGCCTTCTTCCCAAAGCGGGCTCTGAACACCAGGTCTTTCCTGCTGGCTCTTTTACCTTTTATTTTTAAGATGGAGTTTTGCTCGTCGCCCAGGCTGGAGTGCAGCAGTGCAATCTTCAGCTCACCAGAACCTCTGCCAGCTGGGTTCAAGCAATTCTCCTGCCCCAGCCTCCTGAGTAACTGGAATGGAACTACAGGCACGCACCACCATGCCCAGCTAACTTTGTAATTTTAGTAGAGATGGGGTTTTACCATGTTGGCCAGGCTAGACTCGAACTCCTGACCTAGGGTGGTCCATCTGCCTCAGGATCCCAAAGTGCTGGGACTACAGGCATAAGCCAGCATGCCCAGCCTCCTGCTGGCTCTTTTCCTTAAGCTTCTCCTTTTGTATCAAATATGAATGTGCCACCTTCTTTCCTGAACATACGACCTCATCCTTGCTTCCTTTCTGTTGCCTAATTTGGGTTATGATCTCACCTACTACCATCCCAAGCCTGGCTAAAAAACTCTCTTCCACCTTTGCCTTGTATCATCAGTATCTCAAGGACCTAGGTGTCAAATCCGCAGGTCTGCTTGTGTCTTTTTTTTTTTTTTTAAACTTTGCTCCCTAACCAGGTTATGAAAATAAACATTTTTATCCCATGAAATACTACATTTTAACTCAGATTCCATATAGCGGGAGTGAGTAAACTAGTTTGCTATCAACTTGTTTCTCCTCCCCACCAAAGAAAAACAGTATTTTTCTGACCTTACATAGACTTCCAGTTCCCTAGTCTCAAAAGGTTTCTTTGCTTCTCAATGATCACCTTCAATTTACCTTCTCTATTCATTCCCTTTCTTTTTCCATTGTGCTTTCTTTTGCCAATAGCTCCTTCTCCATTGTAGGTCTGCTCCAGCCACCACTCTATAAAATTCTGGTTCCATTCCTCTAAACATGTCTGTCTTTCCCCCCGTATCTGTATAATTCATAAGAAAGCTCTCTTTTCCCTTTCTCTTATTGTCACCTTTCACAAATGCTTTTTTCCATTGTGATAAAGCAACTTTTTGGTCTGAACACTTCAGTGCACATGAATTTTGCTGCCTATTTCTTCCAACCAGGTTCCAGTTCTCTGGATCTGAAAATAGCTTCCTATGTTATATTCTGTTCTGTTTTTCCACTGTGACATCCCAGATATTTTCCTGAAACAAGGAATTTAAATTGCCAGTATTACCTGAGCTTCCAGTGGTGCTTCTGAGCAGCTGTATTAAGTGTCCTCCCGGCTGGCTCGGGAGCCTAGAAGATAGAAATAGGAATGGAGTAAGCAGCTGCCGGACCTCTGATTTTACCCAGGGTTATCATGAAAGGTAATTCCAAGGCATTAGAATATACACGTCCTTGCCTCATCTTCTTCTCCACAGGTAAATGGTACATTTACCCAGAGTACCTAGGCAGTTGAACAGAGGAAAAAAAATTCTCTAATGCTCTCACTTATAAGAAGACATTCCTGGAAAAAAATTTCCATACATCAAATTTCATTGGTTTTTCTTAATATCATTTCCTTAACATCTACCTATGCCTATTCCCCAAAGGTTAAATTTGCTTCCAATCCAAATTTCAGTTAAATGCACAAATAAAAATGTAAGATTAATATTGTTCCCATACGACCAATGGGAAGCAGGAAAAATCAACTCCATGGATTTACCCTTTATACAGGGCCTGTGAAAACATAAATGTGGAGGTTATTTAAATGAAAAAGGCAGCACTAGATGAAAAAGAACAATTATTTATGTTTCTGGGGCAGAAAAAGAGGTCAGGGGGGAGTCACTCAAGGGGAAGACTTATTAAGAGATTTTCAGGGTAAAAAAGTGTGTGTGTGTGTGTGTGTGTGTGTGTATGTTCGTGTAAAATATTCTGAGTGACAACTTTCACCAAGAGCTAAATCAAGTGTGAAAGAAACTGAAACTATTGCCTTGGTCCTCAGGTGGCTAACACTAGTGAAACAAAACTACCATTAAACCATCAATATCTGAATCTACACTTGCCAGAAATTCGAAGCACAAAAGAATGGAGCCTTAACCTCTGAAAACAGAGAAGGCAGTAGAGATGGGTGCTCTGAGAAACTACTGACTATCCTGTCCAAGTCCTATAGAACACTGCAAGCCTCAACCCAAACTGAACGCAACATTTCTCTCTTACGATTGGCAAGATGCAGATGTACATAAAAGGTAATAGGATAGGAAAGCACAGTGGGAAGACAAATTCCTAATTCCACAAGCACATACTATACAGTGGCATAAATGATGCCTCTGTTCTCCACCAGCAGTTTTAGTAACTGAAAAGCAGTTTGCTTTCTTCTTCATTTCCAGTGGAAAGTGGGGTCACATCTTCAATCCCAACATGATCCTTGCTTTCTGTAACGAAAACATTAGAGAAAACCTGCCTTCAGGTCACCCAGAGGTTAGCAAACACAGGCTAGGAAACGGGCCGAAAGAGGCAAAAGGTCTGCAGAAAGGACAACAAAGAGCCAAGCTTGTGCGCCAGGTTCCCACAACGCAAAACACACTTAAAAATCCGAAACCTCGGCCTCTCCAGAACCTCACTGAGGATCTCAAAGGGAAGACGCAGCTTGTGAGCCCAACCGAGCTAATAGGACTTGCCAACGCTGCTAGCAGAGCCTGGAACCAAGCTCCTCAACACGCTTGGGTCGGAATCAAGGGGGTGAACCCAGCTGGAGCCCCCAATTCTCTGCGGGCGAGAGGTGCACCCGACAAAAAAGGAGAAGCTTATCAGAGACTAGGGTTATGGCTCCCAGTGGTCCCGCAATCCTTGCTCCAAGCAGGGTAGGGCTCGAAATCGGGAATTCTCCGTTTAAAGAGTCGAGGGTCGACCCTTCACCAAGGGGACAGGGGCGAGGGCCTTCAAACGACGCTTCCTTGTTTGGGGGCCATTCCCGCCCCGCAGACTCGGACACCTTGGCCCGCAGGGATACAGCCTCCGGGGCCTGAGGCCGCCTTCCATGCCGGGGCAGAAAGAAGGGCGCAGAGGTCTAGGTGCGGCCTCTTCCCTTCCCTCTGTCCGCGGTTCATGGGCCCCGGCCCGGCGGAGCAACGGACTCCTGAGGGCCACTTCCTCTGGAGCACCAAGCCCAGGCCTGCCTGGCCCCGGCCGCCACGACTTCCAGGGACACTCACCGGCCCATTTCACAGCGGTTCCCGGGATCCACCCGCTCGTCCCGGAGCCGCCGCAACCGCGGCCGCCGCCATCCCCGGCCCCGGAGCCGCCCCACACCCAAGGCCCCCCCAGCCAGGCGCCCGAAGATGGCGTCAAACGTATCCCGCCCCCGGCGCGGAGAGATTGCGTCAGCACTGGAGCGAGAGAGCAACGCCCAGGACTTCCCGGGAAGGAAGGGCGCCACACTCCCTTCGCGTCCAGCGTTCACTCTGGTGGGAAAACAAACTCTTTTCCCTGGGACCGGGTCCCCTCACCGTAACCCCACAATGACCCGCAATTTTTCCACCTCAGTAAATTTTGGGGGTTCCCAGAGTCCCGGGGCGTGGTCATCGACGACCTCCCCATTTCCTGGACTTCCTATCCTGACTTGTGCTGCCTCTTTTGGGGAACCTCGGGGAATCCCGAGGTGACCTAAGCCCAGGAGAAGAAGGAGATGCGTCTTGGAGACACAGGTGGAAATGGAAGCTCTTTAAGTGTTGAGAAGCGGCCCCCGAGGGAGATAAAAGAGTGAACACCATTCAGGATCTAGAGGAAGATGACAAGGAGTTGGCCACCTGAAAGTTTGGAGAATGAGAGGCAGGGGTTTAGTACAGTGAGAAGCAGCTTCTTTTAGTGGAAAGAGGGATTGACTACTCAATGAAATATTAGGTCACCATTCATTACAAATTAACTTGTCAACTTCATCGTAACATGAACATCTGATTAACTTAAGTGAAAACAAAAGTGAGCACCAGTTGAATTTATGTTTGAGTAACAACTGTTTTTAAAAATTAAGTTGGTGCAAAATTAATTGCGGTTTTGGTCACAATTGGGAGACTTCCAGTTTCTGCAAATTCTGTTCAATAAATGACAATTGATTTTTGTTTGACTAGAAACTACTGGCTGGTCTCTGGTCCCTATTGTGGAGCTGTCCGACTTACGTTAAGTCATTGTATGACTGTATGTGTGGTTTTCTACTACTGCAAAATAAGAAGCTTGACCTAGATGAGGTGGCAGTAAGATGTAGACGGAAGAGATCTCCAAACATTTTGTTAAGGAGAAAATAAGCAAACCTGTACAGATTATTCCATCTTAAAAGATAAGTTGGCTCGGCACGGTGGCTCACGCCTATAATCCCAACACTTTTGGAGGCCGAGACGAGCAGATGGCGAGGTCAAATGTTCGGGACCAGCCTGAACAACATGGTGAAACTTCATCTCTACTAAAAAGTACAAAAATTAGCCGGATGTGGTGGTGGGCACTTGTAAACTCAGCTACTCGGGAGGCTGAGGCAGGAGAGTTGCTTTAACCTGGAAGGTGGAGGTTGCAGTGAGCTGAGATCACACCACTGCACTCGAGCATAGGGAATATCGCGAGACTTGGTCTCAAAAAAAGAAAAAAGAAACTCCATTTCTACTAAAGATACAAAATTAGCCGGGCATGGTGATGAGTGCCTATAATCCCAGCTACTCAGGAGGCTGAGGCAGGAGAATCTCTCTATCTCCAGCCTGAGAGCTAGAGTGAAACTCCATCTCAAAAAAAAAAAAAAAAAAGATAAGTGATTGCAGTTGCATCTGTGTGTGTGTGTGTGTGTGTGTGTGTGTACATATTTTTTTAATAGCCCTGTCACCCAGGTTAGAGTGCAGTGGTGCCATCTTAGTTCACTACAGCCTCAAACTTCTGGGCTCAAGCAGCCCTCCCACCTCAGCTTCCAGAGTAGGTGCGATGATAGGCATGTGCCACCATGCCCGGCTAATTTTTTTCAAATTCCTTGTAGAGACTATATCTTGCTATGTTGCCCAGGCTGGTTTCAGACTCTTGTGCTCAAGTAATCTTTCCTTCTCGGCCTCCCAAAATACTGAAATTTCAGATGTGAGCCAACCACACCCAGCCTTGGTTGCATATATTTGTGTGTATCTGTACAGAAAAGGAGTAGAATACATAACTAATTAACATTGGGTATTTCTGGGGAGGAAAGTGGAATTGGGTGGCGGTCAAAAGGCAAAGAAGCAACTTATTTTTTTTAATATTTAGGAGAATATTGTCTTAGAAATTAAAAAAAGTAAATTAAGATACAGATACAATGCATGATCTCTAAGATTCTTTCTAGGGAATCCTTAGACCTCAATTATTATATTTTCTCACCTGGATGGGTACATAGGGCCATAAAAAAATTTGTTTTTAGACAGAGTCTCGCTCTGTCACCAAGGCTGGAGTACAGTGGCACAATCTCGGCTCACTGCAAACTCTGCCTCCCGAGTTCAAGCAATTATCGTGCCTCAGCCTCCCGAGTAGCTGGGATTACAGGTGCCTGCGACCACACCTGGCTAATTTTTGTATTTTTAGTAGAGACAGGGTTTCATCATGTTGGCCAGGCTGGTCCTGAACTCCTGACCTCAAGTGATCCGCCCACGTCAGCCTCCCAAAGTGCTGGGATTGCAGGCGTGAGCCACCGCATCTGGTATAAAAGATTATTAGGCAACGCGCACACACACACACACACACACACACACACAGCACAAACAGGAAAAACAGTGATGTTACTGCTGTCATCTAAATCATCAGAGTGCTTTGCTTCATTAATGTTAATATTATTCATGACAGTCTCCTTCTCTCTCAGTTTGGCCAAGAAGGAAGTTCTGTGGTCACTCAGTGAGTCCGTTTTAGCACCAACTGGCATTCTGGTTTCTAGTTCATTTCTTAGCTCACTAAACTGGCATTAAAACTGTCAAGATAGAAACCCTCAGACTATACAAGCATATTCAAGGATAGCTAGTCTCTCCCAGATCAAGATATTCACTCAGAGCTGGGTTTTCTGTACAAATCTGAAAGAGTAGGCAAAAAAAAAAAAAAAAAAGTTTTGTGTCTACCAGCCATTAACATAATTATGGAATACAAGGGCATGTCTATTAAAAAATAAAAAACAGGATTTCTGATTAGTTAAACACAGGTGATTTCCTAGTTTGGCACTGCAGTCCCAAAAGGGTGGATCATATCTCCTCTGTATCTCGTTCCAGAACTCTTTACTACACTGAGTGTCCTTTTTCTTAGGTTTTATATCTTGATGGTAGAAAGCTCTATAATAACAGTTTGACCGGTATATTAGTGATAAGTAAACTAACAAAGTTTTTAGATTCATGGTGCAAAAAGAACCAAAAGTTACCTGATTTATCCAAAAATCTTTTTTATTTTCTGGAATCTGGATAAACCCCCTTTTTAAGCTATTTATAATCAGTAAACCAAGCCAGCTGTGGTGGCTCATGCCTGTATTCCCAGCACTTAGCCAAGGCAGGTGGATCACCTGAGATCAGGAATTCAAGACCAACCTGGCTAACATGGTGAAAACCCATCTCTACTCAAAATATAAAAATTAGCTGGGCATGCTGGCGCATGCCTATAATCTCAGCTACTTGAGAAGCTGAGGCAGGAGAATTGCTTGAACCCAGGAGGCAGAGGTTGCAGTGAGCTGAGATTGTGCCACTGTACTCCAGCGTGGGCAACTGAGCAAGACTCCATCTCAAAAAAAAAAAAAAATATATATATATATATACTCTTATGCATGTAAATAGTTTAATAAATAGCCAGGTGTGGTGGCTCATGCCTGTAATCCCAGCACTTTGGGAGTTCAAGGCAGCTGGATCATGAGGTCAAGAGTTCGAGACCAGTCTGGTCAACATAGTGAAACCTCATCTCTACTAAAAATACAAAAAATTATCTGTGTGTGGTGGTATGCACCAGCAGTCCCGGCTACTCCGGAGGCCGAGGCAGGAGAATCGCGTGAACCTGGGAGGTGGAGGTAGCAGTGAGCCAAGATCGCATCATTGCACTCCAGCCCTCCAGCCTGGGAGACTTTGTGACACTTTATCTAAAAAAAAAATAGTTTAATAAATAGGCATTAAATAACATTTTGCAAAAATACCCCAAATTACTCCAAACTGGAATAATTTCCTTGCAAATTCTTTTTTTTTTTTTCTTCAAAACGGAGTCTCACTCTGTCGCCAAGCTGGAGTGCAGTGGTGCCATCTTGGCTCACTGCAACCTCTGCCTTCCGGGTTCAAGCTATTCTCCTGCCTGAGCCTCCTGAGTAGCTGGCATTATAGGCACGCACCACCATGCCAGGCTAATTATTGTATTTTTAGTATAGACGGGGTTTCACCATGTTGGTAAGTATAGTCTCAAACTCTTGACCTGGTGATCTGCCCGCCTCGGCATTCCAAAGTGTTGGGACTACAGGCATGAGCCACCACACCCAGCCTCTTGCAAGTTCTTTTGCTCCCTTTGCTACCTTTTTTTTTTTTTTTTTTTTTTTGAGACAGGGTCTCACTCCATCGCCCAAGCTGGGGCCGCAGTGGTGCAACACAGCTCACTGTAGCCTTGGCCTCCCGAGCTCAGGTGTTCCACCTGCCTCAGCCTCTGGAGTAGTTGGGACTACAGATGCATGTCACCATGTCCAGCTAATTTTTAAATTTTTTGTAGAGATAGGATTTTGCTATGTTGCTAGGCTGGTCTTAATCTCCTGAGCTCAGGTAATCTGCCTACCTCAGCCTCCCAAAGTGTTGGAATTACAGATGTGAGTCACTGAGCCCATCCTCTTTTCTACTCTTATCTGTTTTGCCTATTTGGTAACTGTTTTCAGTTTCTCTCATCTGCAAGCCCTTAATTTTCTTTCACTGAGTTTTTTATTTCCACTAAGTTTTAAAAACTGAAGGACGCCAGGCATGGTGGCTCACGCCTGGAATTCCAGCACTTTGGGAGGCCAAGGTGGGTGGATTATTGAGGTCTGGAGTTCGTGATCAGCCTGGCAAACATGGTAAAACCCTATCTCTACTAAAAATACAAAAATTAACCGGGTATGGTGGCATATGCCTGTAATCCCAGCTACTCAGGAGGCTGAGGCAGGAGAATTGCTTGAACCCAGGAGGCAGAGGTTGCAGTGAGCAGAGATCACACCACTACACTCCAGCCTGGGCAACAGAGTGAGACTTTGTCTCAAAAAAAAAATTATAAAGGAAAGAGTTTTTTGTTTTTGTTTTGTTTTAGATATTTGGGGTATTTGGAG